AAAAAAAAAAAAAAAAAAAAAAAAAAAAAAAAAGAAGAAGAAATACGGCACGTTTCGCCCCAGAGCCCTGGTCCTGATATAGCCCACGGCTCCGCCTTCCCCAACGTCTCAGCAGTCACCCCCGGTGCATCCACTGCGATCCGCATCTGCGGTACAGCTGCGACTTGCAACGCCCGCGATATTTATTAATTACACCGCGATCTTCGCAGGAAACAGTTCCGTTTCGATGCTGCTGCTTGCCAAGGTCAGCGTTTGATTTAAGCAAGTTTCCCGAGAAGCTATTTGGTGCTAACGGGGTCGCGGGCGCTTTGCGTTTCAGAACCTGGACGTAAAGCGCGAGTCAAAGCCTGCTCCGCTGCTGCTTTTCTGCTGCTGGTCGCCATCAGAAGGCAATTCCCGYCTAAAATACAGCACGGAGACCTGCACAGCTGCCCCCTGTGCCCCCTCCTGCGGGTTAGACAGCTCGGCGTCGAGGGGAATATTAAGAGATACCTCCTGCCTCTCCACCTCTTGCCTCTCCCTCTCCACCAGGACTCCCCCCTCCGGACATAAACCAGAAATGGGAATGGGGTGTGAAGGAGGACACTCCAACCGAGGCTTACTCTCCCCTCCTAATTGGCAATAGCAGCTGCTTTGTACTGCGCTGACCCAGGGATCCCGCCGTGTCACAGCAGGTCCCCGTCCAACAGCCGGGCGCACATCTGGGGGTCCCTTTGTCCCCTCTCCTCGCGGGCTCACGTTTGCCACTGGCCAGCCAGCGAGCGGAGCTTTCACCACATTTTATGAACACGTCCTCCGCAGCGCATAAAATAACTGCAGAGTCTGAACTTTTCGCTATTGCTGACACAAAGGCTCTCTCCTTCGCCCTGCAAACTAAGCCTAATGGATTGGAAGACAAACTACATTTTATCTCACTTCATCTCTCTCCCCCGCTCTTCTCTATGCAAAGAGCTCACTAGAAAAGGTATCATTACACTCAAAGGATATGGTTTCAACAAAATGGTAGTTCCAGTGGCTGATGAAAGAGGAAATAATTGCATCCCACATGCCTAGCCTAGAAGTAGCCCTGGATCTCAGAGCAAATTTCTCCCTTATTGTTCAGAGAAAGTGAAGTATCCTCGCTGCCTTACAGTCATGGTGATGGATCTGATGRGGTTTCTATAAGGGCTTTTACTGTGTCTCCTGTCCACTCGGTTTCCCTTCCAGGCTCGGTCCAACTGCATTCTTGCCATTTTTTGCTCTGAGCCCCCTTCTAAAATAGCGAGACGAAATGTCCCTTCCTCAACCTCGAGACGAAATGTCCCTTCTAGACTGTAACATGTGCCCAAACTTCTGTTCCCTTTCAAAATCAAACCGCAGGGAAAGCGAGAAGCAATATCCTTATTTTGCAAACCCTTTTCCCCGCAGCTGCCCGGCCTCTCCGCGAGGGCCGCGTTGCACGAACCCCCCCGCTCTGCCTGGACAGGATGGGGGGTCCCATTCTGCGCCGCTCAATTGGCGGACACGCGGCCTCATCAAGCGCGCTTAAACCCCTGTCCAGCTGAGCTCGAAGGGTGACGCGGCCGAACCCTTGGTGTTTTTGAGACCCGCAGGGACCCCGCAACACCCTCCCGCCTGCAGCAGGAGCCCAGGGCCAGGGAAAGGGCGGGGGACACGGGCCCAGCAGCGCCGTGCGCCGCCCGGGCACCTGCGGCGCCGGGGGCGGGCTCAAACTCGCGCCAGGAAAACGGAGCGAAGCGGGGAGAGGCGAGAGCAACCCGGCCAGGAGCCGCCGGGGGTCCCTTTAGCCCCGCGCTCCCGGTTCCCTCCCTGCGCCCTCCTGGTCGCCCCTGGACG